TTATTAGGGAACCAATTACCTGGGGAGCATGTGGCCCAGCTGCCAAGAATGAGCCCAGCCCGGCTCTAGCCCACTCTGGCATCTGGGCACCCTGCTCAGCTCTGTCGGCAGACTTTCCCAGGGGAGGCTTAAGTGCAGCTGGATCTTAATGGGATCGGCCTCACTCTGTACCATTTCATCTCCAACATCACCCCCTCCTCCCCCGAAAGCCCCTAGACCTCCCGCCTGCTGATGCAACAGGGGCTCAGGTACCCGGGGGGGATGACAGAGCACAGGGTCTCTGGTCAGCTGAGCAGCAGGAGACAGTGGAGAACTCCCATTTCAAAAGATCACAGGCGAGTGCACACAAAATGTGCATGCACTGGGGAATGTTAAGACTGATAATTTATCTGCTCTGTGAACAATCTCATCCACAAAAAACTTAATTAAAAAAAATAAATTAAAAAACAAACAAAAAAACCACCTCATCAGTAGACATTTGAAGGTGCAACTGTTGGTCAGTCCCCATCCAGAGGAAAGAAGGCAGATGACCATCTAAAGACATGTGGGAACAAGTAGTCCAGTGGACGAATGGACCACAGGAACATCATGTCTCCACACCCTGAGACTGGAGGAACTAGATGGTGCCCACTGCTCAGAAAGGGATCACACCCGAGGGTCCTGGCTGGGAGGGGGAGGGTAATCCGGAGCAGAACTCGAACTCATGAAAGAGGTGGGAATCCCAAGACCACGGCCCCTGGTCACCTTTCAGGTCTGAATTATGATAACCAACCATCTGAAATGAAAGGGGTGGCATCTGGCGAAAGATGGGGTGCAGAGGAAAGGAGGGGAGGAAGCAGGTGACAGGGAGGAGGTCAGATGAGCCCTGATACACGGAGTTGGGGGGGTGGCTGATGGATGAGCTGAAGCATGAAGGTCTGCTGCCCCTCCCTCCTCTGGATGGCCTTCGCATTGCTCAGCCAGGACTTTCTCCTGCCATCCCTGTCAGAGCAGCCATTCCCTGGGAGAAGGTGGTGCCTGAGCCACACCCTCCCGCTGCGGGCTTCAGTCTGTTTTCACTTTCAGTGCCCACACCCCTCACTACAGGGTAAGATCAGCACCTAGTTGCTTCTACATTTTCAGAGGAGACCAGGTAGGGCAGGGAGGGAGCAGTTCTGCCTGGGTGGTCCCAACATGAATCACCTTAGTCCAGCGTTTGAAAAGCACCCCCACTCGCCTACCCCCACAAACATTGAGTCACTCTTGCAGCCTGCAGATGCATGTCCTAGATGGTACCAGCCCCTTGCCAAGTAAGAAGGGGCTGGCGGCAGAGGCCAGTTCAGTGGGCCAGCCACCTGGGTCTCAGCTACCCTCTTGCCACAGGGCAGGCTCTGCCAGACCCAGCCTGGGAGGCTGCTTGGCTCCCGTGCAACATTGGCCAAGACATCAGGATAATCACAAGCGCAGTGCGAGGCAGGCCTGCCACAGTGCTCACCCACGCCCTTCCTGCACTGGGCGGTTAATTGCAACCTGATCACGTGAGCCCTCAGGAGACCCTCTCTCTGCCCACTACTTCCTACCGCTCCCCACTACCCCCACCTGGCAAGCATCAGTCTCTGCCTGCTGCTGCCGCTCTCAGGATGGGGCCTGCAAGGGTTGCCTGCCCCCTGCCCCAGGGCCCATGCTCCCTGCCCACTGCCCAGGTTAACCACCCAGAACTGTTCCCCCACCAGCCTGGGATCCGTGATCACAGCATCCCTCCCATCCCAGGGGCACGGCGTTTCCTCGTTTGCTTCCAACACAAAACCTTAGTGGGCTGCTTTCAGGTGTAAAGGCGGTGACTGAAGGAAGGGCCCAGCAGAGTAGACACCCGAAAAGCTGCCTCCCTTTCCAGGATACTAGCATCTGTGTGTGTGTGGGGAGGGAACACCACCCATCTTCACAATGAGGGGCAGTGTCAACACCGTACCCCTGCCAATTCCAAGGAGGCTCATGGGGGACAACAAGCTTTGTGGTAGTGCGGGCTCCACAGGCTCCACCCACTTTGCCCTGCCCTCCAACACCCCCTCCAGCTCAGCAGCCAACAAACAGCCCAGCTGACCGCACACTTGCTCGGAGAGCACTCCTCAGTCTCACTCCCCCAGATACTGGGCACCCTCAGCTCGGACAGGGGCGTCCTGCGCAGGTTCCACCCAGATAGAAGGATGGGGGGCAGGCTCGGCTGGGTGCTCCTGCAGAGCAGCCCGTGGGTGGAACCACGTAGAGGGAGATGCATCACTATGGAAACCCTGGGCTTTCTCCGGGTGCTGTGAAGAGAAGTCATGGAGACTTCAGATTCAGCACTCCCAGGTTCACGCCCAGAGAAGGCAAGGGGTCCCAGAAAGTCCGCCACCCAGCAAACAATGCCAGAACCTCCACACACACCCACTGTGGACGGAGTCCCAGCTTGGCAGGGACCCCACTCCTCAGGGCGCTCACTCACTGGGACCCCCCAACTGCCGCAGCACCCAGTTAACCCCTCCAACCAGAAACCGAGTCTAGGCAGGTCTGCGGGCACCTCAGGGTGCAGACGGCAAGTGGCACATGGAAATGGTGGGCTTACTGGCTGTGAGCCGGCCTATGCGCTGTGAGGGGCACTGGAGTCCAGGGTTAGTCGGGGGAGGGGTACTGAGTTCAAGGCTGGGGAGACAATGGGCAGAGACTACAGTGATGCCACGAGTCACACTGTTCCACAACCTAGGTCAAGTGGCCATGTGTGTGGCTGGACCTGTGTCCTGGGCTCTGCGGCACAGTGATGCTAAGCAGCACAGAGGCCTGGTGTCACTGGGTGGGTGGGGGCAGAGGGGGATAGGGAACGGCACATCAACTTCTTAATGTTCCCAGGTGTGTCTGCTGGATGGTGGTCAGCACACACTGTTCCCAGTCACCCGCGGAAGGAATTCCGCTGAGAACACACCAGAAGTTGGATTCTGCCCCCCAATACATGCTTTGGCAGTGAGAGGGTCCCTTGCTAGGCCAGCCAGGCACGCAGTTCCGACAAGGAGAGGCTGATGCGGATGGAGGAGATGGCAGTAGCAGTGGGTCAGCAGAGCTGAGCGCTAGCTCTGCTGGAGCCCACCCTGAGCCTCAGGATCCCAGGGTGGCCTGCCAGCTCTCCAGCCTTGATACTCCCTCTCTCCCATGCCCACCCCAGGACAGAGGGAAGGGTGTGCAGACTCAGGGTCTGAAAGCTGTCTCTGCCACTCACAAGCTGGGCTACACCGCTCCCCCTCTCCCACACTCGGCCTCCTGGGGTGCTGGGCCGGGGCCAGGCCAGGGACAGAGGGAAAAGCACCCTGCACAGCGCCTGGCAGGCTGCTGACACGCTGAGGGCAGCTTACACGACACAGCAGGTGTCACTCCTGCCAGATCTGCAAGTACCACTTTTCCTCAAGCCAAGCCCTCCACCCTTGTCCTGTGCCCCATACACTCAGGGGACCCCCACCCCTCCCGGGGACCCTCCACACACACAGGGGCATGCTTTTGTGCAGCTCGTAAGGGGAAGCCCTCAGTGCTGGCCCCACTGTCTGCAATAGAGCAGGAGGGGCCCAGGCAGACGTGGCCTTGATGGAAGAAGACCAAATGTACAGGTGAGCCCCAGTGGGACCCCCCACATTGTGGTGGG